TTTGAATTTCTGGAAATAATCTTCTAATTCAGCTAATGCCTTTTGAGGCTTTTGGTTTTTTTTTTTTTTGAAAATCAGCAAATAATTGATCACAGCTGTTTTGTATATTCGGAAATGTATTGATGTTGCCTAGATGAATTGCTCGGAAATACTTTCCAGGCTTTGCTGGTTTTCTTTACCAGCTACGTTCCAACGTCACGTCACTTATTCCTGCGTTTTTTGATAATCTTTGAATCGATGTTTAGATCTTTACTGAGTTTTATGTCTACGGAAGTAGGAGGACGCAAAAGAAGAAAGATGAAAAATCGGAAAAGCAGGCATCATTTACGGAGAAGGAAGTTCTTTCCAAAGAAAGATGGGCAAGGCTTGTGTATAACTTTATCGAAGCATCGCTAATGTAAATGTGGCCAAAATTGCAGAAATTTTTCCAACAAACATTTTATTGTAACATTCTAAGAAAACAGTGTGACTTTTGACTCTATCTCCCATACTCGCTTTTTGTGTCTTACGGTTTTCTGTTCGTTTTTCTAAAGATTTTTGTGCATTGAATTGTGCCAGTCGGTTAAAAACAATTAGAATTTTCGTCCAGCCTACTATTACCGATTCATTATCTTCAGTGCTCATGATGTCGTTCACTTTTCCACCTTTTTGTGGTTTTAATATTAAATGGAGAGATTGAGATAGGCTATTCTTTCCGCCTCAAATTTCAACTATTTTCATAGCTTGGAATTCTTTTTTTGTGAGCTGACACCACCAAGACATTAACATAGACGCAAGACCAGGTTATTCCTCCGGGAACTTGTATTAATAATTTCCATACGAACTTCTGCAAGTCAGACATTCTTTCACAGACCATTTCTTTTTTTCGAATGCTATCTAAGAGCTGCTTGAACTTTCCATGAAGTTTGGATGAAAACCTATGGAGGGTATAAGTAAGTGACCATACCGTGGGTCTTTCATTCGAGCCAGTAATCTTTCAACGGTGAGCTGATAGGATTGCCTAACAGGAGCACGATTTCAACTGCCCTAATAACGTGAAAAGAATGAACGCTCAACAATCATCTACGATCATTTAGTCGAAGCTAATCTGGCAAATTAGAAGTGAATGGAGAAAGCCTCGAAAGGGTGAACCTTTCTTGAAATGAATCCAGAACAGTTTAATCAGAAATCCCAGAAAACCGGTCAA